GCATCCCTTTGGCATGCAGAGTAGGGCATGGGCAAAGCTCTTTTCAGGAGTTGGTTTACAGTGTTCAACTTATATCTGGGGCCATATCTGGGGCACACAAATCCTAATCTGAACCCAACACTCTGTGCTTTTCCTGTTCTTCTCCCCACCACACTACAGCATCCGGGTGCTTATCTTTTACAGCCTGAAATTGAAGGGATAAGATCATCCTATGCTTTTTTAATAAATCTGTATTCCAAACAAATGAGATTAAAGTAAAAAAATGCCTGCTAATTTTGGGTATCCAATTAGAGATACTGTCTACTTGATTTTTCAACCTGCTTGGCATTCTGCATCACTTGGCATAGTCAATGCAGAGTCCCACAGGTTTTATCTGAGGTAGTGAGTGATTCACTTCAGCCTACCAGACTCCAAAATTTCAGGATGGGCCCTCCTCATATGAAAATCTCAGTTAATCATTACCTCTTAAGGCAACTTTCCCCACATTGCAGAAGCTTTGAGGTGACAGGGGAATGGAAGCAAACTCAGCAGGTAAAATTCAGCTACCTCTTTGCCACAAAGCCCTGCTTTCTCCCCTTGTAATTCGCTACCTTGTATATGAGCTGTACCCAGTTCTGCGACAAATTAGACAGGAATCTAGTGAATAAAATCCATAAAGTACTGATCTGCTCCCAGAGGAAGGGTACCTTGCAGGGTTTAGTTTCTGCTTCAGGAAATTTGTAGAATACAGTCTGTGAGGTCATGTATCATAACGTATGGAGGCTGAATCGAGGTGCTCTGAGACCCTCAGGTTAGTCATTTCCTTAACATCTCTGATGTTGCGGCTAGTGTTGAATATGTAACACATTTCCTTAGTTCTGTGGTGACACACACACACACACACAAATCAAAATATGTTTTGAATCAGCTCAGAAAAACTTCTCTTAAAGATCATTTAGTTCTTTTTTAGCACTAGAAGGCAGACTCTGTTCCAAATAAAAAGCATTAATTATGTAGCTGTACTGCATCAACTAAAAATGGGGGGGGGGGGGACATTTTGATTTTCAGAATTTCTACCATGTTTCAAATTAAATTCAGCCCAGCTACTCTGGACATCCTGCAATTAAGCATCCTTGCTGTCTTGGCTGACAACATTGGTCATTTTTGCTAGCCTTGCCCTCCCATCTCCCCTCCAGGTTCCTCAACCAAGCAGTTTCTCTGCTCTCTGCACAACCTCTGTTTCTCCTTTCCTAATCAGTCCCAGGCTCCTGCCTCCAAACACTAGTCCCAGTTTTTCTCTCTAGACTGCTTGACTGCTTCTGTTGCCTGCTCTGTCACAGGCTGGGTGGGTTTTTTTCTCTATGTTGTATTCATGCAGAGACCTTTCTTCTTGACACAACCTTCAAATCGTTTGGAGCTTAAAAGAGAGAGGATCCCTACCTCTCAGGTTCTGCGCCAAAGCTCAGGCTCATGGGGAAAATTTGAAGGTGGGGATTAAAGTGGAAATCTAGCCTCACCACTGTATCCTAAAGCTTCTGTTTGCAGAGAGGGCCAATCTGTAGCAATTCCTTTTCCCTACTAAAATAAAAGAAATCATTACTGGGCATCTGTTCATGACACAATTTCTAATACTTATAAGTTAACCAGATTTGGATACATTTTCAGACAGAGAGGGAAAAGCATATTTTGAATTAAAAAGGTCACATTTTGAGACTGTGCTTCAAAGCCTGAGGGCAGCAGAGCATTTCAAAGGAAAAAAGTTTCCATTTTAGTATGAGCAAAACTGTTTATTTTTCCATAACCTTGTTCTTGGAAATGGACAAATTGTTTTGGCAGGTATTTTCAAAATAATCTGCCCAGTACAGACAGTCAGCATATCAGTTTTCAGCCTAAGTGATGATGTTTTTTCTAAAGCTACATGCAACAGAAAATATGATCTCTGCTGAGAAATGTTTGCCAACCCCAATACAGGGAATGGCAGCACGTCCACCTTAGAATATATATTATCACAAATTACGTCCTCTGAGGATTTCTGATTTTTCTCAAACACCAATTGCCTCATGGAAAGGCAATAGGGTCAGTGACTCTTACTTCCCTATTTTAAAGGCAGAGAAACTGAAACAAGAGGAAAGGGAAAAAACCAGGATAGAATAAAAAAATCCTGATCTGCTCCTTAGTTCCCCATTTATGCACCCGTTGCTGCCACCTCTGAGGGGTGTTATTTGTGCAGTGCTCCTCTGGTCTGGAGTATTGCAGGTATTCTTTACACTGCACAGACATGCACGTCAGAGATAACATCCCTTGTGTAATTACTGTGATTTAACTCTCTGTGATCGAAAGTTTGGGGGGGCTATAAAAGAGGGTACACCGGGTGCAGGAGATATCTTCAAATAATAGTTTAATTCAGCCAAGAACAACCAGCCTCCCACATTCAGCTTGGGAATCAGTACAGTATAATAAAACTAAATTCAAATATTTCTGAGGCACGTGATGAAACCCACGGGCAATGCCTTGTGGAAAAGAGAGGCGTGAGGGGAAAGCTGTGATAGGGCTCCACTGAGACAGAGTAGGTTGTTGATGTGACCCATTGGGTGATGGCCCCTGTCTTTGCTGTTGCCCCAAGTTCTCTGGCTGGGGTGAATCCCAGGAAAGGCACATTCCAGAGGTGCTGGAGGCCTGAGGTAGACAAGCTGCATTAAAGTTCATTCCACTGTCTGGCTGACTTAGGAAAGTAAGAGACATAGTTAAGTGTTAACAGTATGTGATGAGATAGCCCCATGCAAACTGAGAACCTCTGCTAAAAACCACCCCAACAGCAACAACAAATTCCTTAGCTTAACTGCGGCTCTCTTCGGAGGGGGAAAAAAAAAAAAAAAAAAGAAAGAATTGCCAAATCAAACTGCTGACTCCTTTTTTCTTATCAAAACACTACAGCATACATCTTAACAGCCTGAGGTAAATCAAATGCAGGACCAGCTGGAACTGGCCAGCTCTTGACCCTTCCTTGATATCAGGTGTGTGCCGCACTTCTCTAGCAGATTAATTTATGATCTAAAGTAACTCAGGGTCCCAAAAACTTTCAGTATGGCTGTTAGGGTGAGGCTGAAGGTTTTCTTTGGAAAGTATTACCACTAGAAGAAGCTGCAGTTCTTCTCACTCAACAGAGGTACTCCTTTACTTACGTCAGATGACTTTGTTCCCTCTATATCTCTTATTTTTAAACTCACCCACAATGCAGCTATAGGACAAAATTTAAACATGTGGCCAAAGCTTCTTGGTGTGCATCTGAGTGACTGTCAGTCCCCTTTTGCTTGTGGAGCTTTATCTGGGGGGGATGCCCTGTGCATCCCTAAAGAAACCTTTCAGCTTGAGAAAAAAATAGGAGAAGATCTGGGAGAAGTTGCACAGAGCTCACTGAATTGAGAGCAGCTCACAGACGGCAGCTCCGAGGAGAGTTGTGCCCCTGCGTGTGATCAATATAATCTATTGAGAAAGAGAGCCTCGGTGTTTCTGTGGGGGAAAGAGATTTAGAAAGAAGCTCTTTAATTATTACCTGCAGAGAAGTTAAAGTGTAACTCTGCAGTAACGTACTCCAGTGCCAGTTTGGGGTTGGGTGGGGGACAAGTCAGGCGTCTAGCCTGCCTAAAGTCTGTATGGGAATTAAAAAAAGTCAAAATAATTTTAAAGATAAAATTAATTGAACAGGGAAGGAAAATAAGCATTGACGAGGCAAAAGCATAGAGAAAAGAAGTTCATCTTTCAGGCTGCTGACCTCTCGTTGTCAGCTTTGCGTGGGGGAGCCGCCGAACAGGCTCTGGAGCTTGTAGCACCCACGCGTGAGCTTGTAGTCACCCCGCGCTGGCGTTTGTACCACACCTCCCAAAGAGCCCAGATCTTCCCCCTTTCTGCCACGGCCTTTTCCTCGCATACGCTGCTCGGGGACACCGGTCATATTCCCCCCTCTTCGCCCGCCTTCCCCCTCCCGGAGCCGCCTCCGCCCGCGCAGCTTGAGCAGGGGCTGCGCGGGAGGCGGCGGCCCCTGAGAGGGAAGGCGGGCGGGTGCTCAATCTGCGCATCTCCTCGCCCCTTTCGAAGATCACATCCTTCCCCCTCAAAAAAAAAAAAAAAAGGGGGAGGAGAGCCCTGGGGTTTCCAGGGTCATGCCGATATGGCAGTGTATGTATAGGTATAAATTTTAGGTTTGTTTTTTTTTTTCCTTTTTTAAGGGAGTTTTGCTTCTTCGGTAGGTCAGCATGTTAATTAAAAGTTGGCCCAGTTCGGTTGCTTGCAGTCCCATGTGCGCTATTAACATATAAGAATTTTTTTTTAAGATATCAAAATGCAAAAACTCGGTAGAAAACCTATTTCCTCCTTACTATTAACTAGCAGTCTCAGAGAGAAAATCATTAGAGATATAATTAAATATGGGTCTATTTTTGAAGAATGTCCTGCAAAATAGCCCCAAAAAATGATGTAGTAATTTGATTTTTTTTCTCCTTTGGCACTACAGGTGCTAGTTATATTTTCCGTCCATTTCCCACACCATGTATATTAAACAGGGAGGGAACATTGCTCCATTGTCAGTGATGACCCCAGACTTCGCCGGAATATTTTGCTCCTCGGTGCAAAATTGCGAAGTGAGTCTCTCTTTCAAAATCGCTATATTGGTTTTTATAATTACCTCATGGTCTAAACTTTTTCGCAGTCCATTTCCTAAAGGATGAAGAAAAAAAAATAATAAAAGGAAGGGGAAAAAAGAAAGGAACAAAGTTAGCCGTATTAACGTTTCTGTTTCTCTCATCCAGGCTGTCAATAACTTTCCCTGGATCGCGTCCTATGTTTCTGTAGGCGCCCAGCTGAGGCGCGCGTCTGCCCCTGCCTGTCCGCCCTCCCTGCCTGCCCTGCCTACGGCTCAGCCTGACACCGGCCCTCCGCAGGCCTGGGGTCGCTGCCGCTGATCCCCCCGCCCGGCCGGTCCCCTCCCCGCACCGCCGCGCCCTCCCCGGGCTCCGTGTCCCCTCGCGGCATCGCTCAGCGGAGCTTGTGCTCCACACCCCGGAGTGGGATCTGTCAGATTCTAATGGACAGCTAAATAACTCCTAACGTTATTTGTTGCAGAAAAAGAAAAAAAAATTGACAAAAGGAAGAAAAAAATAAGGAAAATATGCAGACTACTCCCTCATCCCCTTTCATCCCTAAGATTTTACTCTTTCATCCGGAATATTTTCTCTGAGGACGGTAAACCTTGTTCACGGCTTGGCTTGGTTTGGCTTGGCTCGGCTTTGCTTTGCATAGCTTTGCCTTGCCCCGGCCGAGGTTGACCTCCGCAGTCCCTCCGGGAGAAGCAGCCTCGGTCGGAGCCCAGCGCCGAGCGGAGGAACCGGCGGAGCCCCCTCGGCCTCCAGCCCTGAGCCGATCCCAGAGTCCAGGCAGGCGCTGGGATTTAAACCTGGCCCGGTCTTACTGTTACCAGGAGCGCGTGGTTGGGTTTTCTTTTTCTTTTTTTTTTTTTCTCTTCTCCTTCTCCTTTGTAAGACACGGAAGGTGAATAATGAAATCCCTTCGCTAATAGTTTATGAGCCATGAGATTGGAAATGTGTGCGGATGGACCAGCGCGCCGGTCTGAGCGTCACTCGGGGGGCTGCGGGAGCGCGGCGCGGGGAGGCGAGAGGACGCCGGGGGCTGCCGAGGTGGCCGCTCCGGCAGCGGGAGCCGCCACCGAGGCCGGGGGTGCCGGGGCTGCCCGTGCGGCGGCGGCGGCGTGTCCGTGCCCGGGCACTGCCCCAGCAGGGCCGCGGGAAGGGGAGCGGCTCCGTACGAGGGGGCTCGGGGGACCCTGCCTGCACCCCCGGGCGCTGCCCGACACGGGCTCCTTCACGTCCCCTCGGGCGGCACAAAGGCAGCGCGGGCTCTGCCCGGCCTTTCGGGGGGCGGCGGCCGCCCCCCCGGACGAGAGGGAGGACGAGCGGGAAGCGACCTTTAGAACCAGTTTGGAGGGAACTGGGGGCGCGGCTCTGGCACTCGTGCCGAAAGCCCCTTTCCTCGGCGTTTCTGCGACAGGTCACGTCCGCGGGGATGGGGCAGGAGCAGGTGGGAGCGGTGCCGCTGCCCCTCTGCCCTCCCGGTGCGCGTCTTGGCGGCACTCGCGCCCGTGCAGGAGCGGACATTTCCCATCAAGCCCGTGCCACGGGATGTCCGAGGGCATCGCTACCTTCCTGCCATAAAAACAAACCACTCATCAGCTCCGCTCGGTGTGCCATCGAGAGAAGTCGCCGCGGCGCGAACGAGCACCATCTGTCCTGCCATTCCGGGAGACGCAGATATATTTCTTTAGACAGGTCAGCAGTTCTTCCCGGCCAGCCCTGTCAGGCACCTGTCAGGGGAGAAAACCTCTTCATAGCTGCCGCGGTGGGATCCTTATCAGCGGTAGCCCCTCTGCTGTCAGGGCCCGGCCTTAAGCTTCCCGCAAATCAATGTCCTCCGGGGACAGGGGACTGTCGTTACCGGGTGATGCCGAACGTGCCGGTACCGCTCAGCCCACCGACAAAAGATGGGGAGGGAGGCGGCGGGACGAGCCGGCCCCGAGGAGCCCGTAGGCTGCCCGAGAAGGCCAAGGTGGGCGCTGAAGCGGGGGGCTCCCCCCTAAACCGTCGGACCGGCCTCGCCGGCGGTGCCCACCAGCGAAGGGCCGGAGCGCTGGGCGCCCTTAAGGACGAGGCTCCCTGGGCTCCCACGCGTGCCCGCCGTGAGGGGGCTCCGCTGCGCCGGGTGGGGGGCCCGCACTCGGAAACCCCACAGCCACGTGTTTCGTGGGTCTTTATCTCGAGTGGGTCCATCGCTCCGTGGCTGACCCAAAGCCCCAGGCAAACACTTCGTCCCTACCAAAGTACCGCCCTCTCACCTCTCCCCCACTCGTCTCGCCCCCCCCAATAACTCCGACCTGTTTTCTTTCTGTTCCTCACTTGCTTTCAAAGTGACGGCACGTTCAGGGGAGCCTGCCTGCCCGCCTCCTGCACTTCCACACGGTATCGCGTGGACATCTCCTCCCCTCACCCCCCCCACCAAAAAAAAAATAAAAAGCAACCAAAACAAAACAACAACAGACACCACCACGGGGGGGGAAGGAAAAAAAAAAAAGACGAAAACGCGCCATGTGTTTCCAACTTGGAGTTAAAGTCGGTGCTAATCCGGGTCAGTTCCTGCCCCTAGCTGAGAAGGCAGGGAGGAGGATGTAACGTATAGGTTGGCGGGGGGTCGTGGTGGTGGGAGGAACAAAAACAACCCCCAAATAAACAAACAAACAAAAATCTCGCACACAATCACAATAAAGTGAAATTCCTTTCTACACACCCACAACTTTAGCTCTGTCTGCTGCCTGGGGGGTTTTAATCTTGCAAAGAGAAAGGGGGGCTCCCTGCGCAAAATTACGCCTTCTCCTCTCATTTGTTAGCTGATTCCATCAAAAAGTTCGCTATTTATAGGCTACACACACGAACCTGGAGTAATACAAACCCTCCCGTGTTGTTTCCCTCGCAAAGTGGCCGGTCCTGAAGCATCTGATCGGGTCTGTGTGTGTGTGCGCGAGTGAGAGCGAGCCACGCAGAGAGCGCTGCCATCCAAAAGGGGAAAGAAGAGCTCAAGCTGAGAGACTTATTAATTGCTAAGAGCTGCTCTGCCACCAGCCATGTGAGTACCTAACAATGATCACCTTTTGCACAGATGGTCAGCGATCAGGCACAGACACTTTCTGTCCTTTTCTTCCTCCCTCCCCTTTCTAATTTTTTTTTTAATTCCCCCCCTGTATTCCTCCCACCCACCTTTCCTTTTTTTTTTTCTTCCCTTTTTTTTCTCGCTACTTTGAGTTCGCACGGTTTATTCCTCACGAAGAAGAGGAATGAAACGTGGGCGAGCGCGGGGGAGAAAATGTGCCGAAGAAGAGGAAGGAAGGAAGGAGTGGTGAAGGGAGAGGAGGAGGGTTTGTTAAGCGATCGCCTTGTCCCCTGAGTCCGAGCCGGCTGGGAATTAGTAACAGCGAGATAACGGAGGTTGTATCCCTCCCTCTTCCTTCGCTTCTATTTTCTTGGAGCGCTCAGACCCTCTGACAATTACTACACTGGTATCAGCGCAGACAACGAGCTATATTTATCAAACCTCATTCAGGGGAATTGAAAGGGAATTACAAATAAATAAATAAACAGATAAATAAATAAAGAGAGCGAGCGCGGGGAGAAGGAGGGGTGATCGCTCCGCGTACAGCAAAGACTGTCCCTCAGCTTCCAGCCCGCTGTGCAGGCAGGTAGAAAGCGCCCGAAGAGCAGCCCGGTCCCGCGGGCTGAGCGTGCGATTTTGGGGAGAGGGGGAGCGCCCCGGCCCTTCGCCCCCGCCGCCCCTTGCCCGGCGAGGTGGCAGCGAGGTGCAAGGGAGGGGACAGGCAGCGCGTCCCCCTCCACGCCTCTGCTCCTTCCGTCCCCTACGCGAGGTCTCGGCGCTTCCCAGGCAGTCCCAGCCCTCGGCGTGGCACAGAGCGTGAAATCAAGCCCCACGCAGCAGACAGGGCATGGCACGTGGGTGAGGAAATTGCAGTTGATTCGAGAGTGGGGGAAAATGAAATCTGTGCTAGGGAACGTGTCTCTCGGAAAGGTAGGTGTCCTGGTTTGTGCAGGAATGCAGGGCTGGGAGACGCCGCGTGGAAAGGGTTTGGGGTGTGGACAGAGCAAGCCAATTTGTTTCCAGCGTGGAGAGCGCTTTTTCTAACCCAACAGTAGAGCTCCAATCACACACTCTCAGGTTAGCGTAGCATTAAACTAGCAGGGTCGGGGTTATCCAGGGCAATTATACCGCGTGCCCGGGATGTAACCTCTGCTCATTTGTACACAAAGCGCAGGGAGAGACGGAGTTACACCTGGAAAGCCAAAGAGCACGGTGAGTATCGGTATTCGCTCCTCTCCCTCCAATGCCTGTGAACAAAGTTCAAAGGCAGCCGGTGCGGGGCTGGGGCTGGGCTCCGCCGGAGCCCTCCCTGCTCCCTTTGGAGGCGGCAGCGCAGCCTTTGGCGCCGGGACCCCCAGTGCAGCCCCTCTGGGCCGAGCCCTCGCTGAACAGCCAAGAGAACTTGCGGTATCTTGATTAGAACTTTGCTACTTTCTTTCGTAGAGAGGGAAAAAAAAAAAAAAAAAAAAGGGGGAAAAAAAGTTACTTGGATGCAGCTCTATTTATAGGTGGCGGTAAAGGCTCCTTTTCAATAAGCTGCCGTGGAAAAGAAGCGTCAAAAAAACTGGCTGCTTTATTGATCCGAAGTGCTGGACGGTCACAGCCATACTAACCATGCTGGACCTATAAAGTCGCGGCTTCTCTCGGGTTAAGCGGCGAGAAGGGGAATATGATACGGGTTTCACTGATCACTAGCTTGGACACGACTCAATTCCCAAGCACAGGTACAGGGCAAAAGGGTGTGAGATGGAAGACTTTTCCCTTTTCTTTCAGACACGCACACAATGCAGGGCACCCGCAGGGCTGAAAGTGGGCCAGGGCTGCACGGTAGGTATCAGATCACACAAAGCAGAGGAAAGAAATCCAGTTAAAAATACATTAGTTGAAATCAGAGGACGAGCTTGATTATTTTTTTTTCTTTAAAACAAAGGTGCACGTTAGAACAAGCTGGAAGCGCTCTTTGTGCCTGACGGTATCCCCCACGCCCATTGGAAAAAAAGCAAGAGGCTTGCTCTTTCTTTGCATCTTTTAAACCTTGTTTTAATTAGAATTGCCAAAGTAGGACACTCTGGTGGAAGATGTTTTCAAGTATCCACCTACCTCTCTGCTGTAAGCAGAATTACTGTCTGCTAAATTGCTTGAAACGCAAAATTCTGCCCCACCCCCAGCTTGGTTTGACACCTACTCACCCTTTCCCCCTCGAAATTGCAATCGTTTATGAAAGGTTACTCCATTGGGAGGAAAAGACAAAACCCCAAACACCCAGCAATAATGAGATGAGTGGACTCCAAGAGCCTCACTTTGCTCTGTACAGTAGGAAAGGCTCCGGACGGACAGAGAGCGTCCCTCAAAATTCGTGCTTCTTTTTTTTCTTTCTTTTTTTTTTTTTTTTTTTGAAGTCACAAATTGGGCGTATCCTTACCCTTCTCCTTTAATTTATTTGATTAAATCATAAGCAAAACAGACTCATCAGCTTCTCGTATTTCCTCAGCTGTAACCATACGCGAATCCTTTTATATGGAGACAAGTAATTGGCTTTAGTTAACTAAGGGCACAGGCTGCGCCCAAGTTTTCCTCCCATCCAGGGCAGCATTTCACGCAAACCCGTGTTCCAACTCTTGCCTCACGCTCCTCAATCGCCAACCTAAGGTTTTTAAACTGTTTAAGCCATTTCCCACCGTTCTCTGATTTCTCTAATGAGGGATGCTCACGGCAGGGGCTTGCGGGACGAGGGGGCTCTTCCCCCCGCGCGGTTTAGGAGTGGCGGGGCCGGCTCAGGCCAGCCCGCTTTGAACTCGGAACCCCCCCTAGACCGCGTCCCGCCAGCACCTGCATGGCACCTCGGTACTGGGCTCGCGGCTTGCTTCCGCTCCCGATTAAGGACTAGAGTAATTTCACCTTCAGGAAAGCGAGGTTGTGTAAGCTTACTTCTAGCTTAAATTAAAAAGAAATAAAGGAACAAAAAATGGAAAAGTCTCAGAAAGTTTCTCGGGTAAAGCTCGGATTCCCTTTGGTTATTACTCAAAGGAAGAACCGCGTCAATTAACTCCAAATTGGAAATGCCTGCCCGAGAAGAATAATGATAATTCACTGCCTTTCGCTAAGAGGTAGTTGCAGGATGGCACTTAGTGCGTGTGGTCCCTAATGACAGGGTTGCTGCTCTGCCCGGTGTTTGGCTTTCCCTGCCCCCCTGGCTTCGCTCTGAGGTCGGGCAGCGACGCCGGGCACGATTGTCCTGCCCAAACCTTCCCCCTCCCTGCCCGGAGCCACATGGGGTTTACACCTCCCACAGCCAACACAGTGTGATCACAGTATGAAAACAGAATTAATTACCCCTATGCCCCGATAAGAGGGCAGGGACCTCATAGCAACAGGTAACGAGGGCACCTGCAGCTCTTCAAGGTTATTTAACTGATAATAGAGGAAGCAGGAGGCTTGCTAAAGGGTCGCACTCGGTAAGAGGGGGTGTGAGGGAAGCGGACCATCAAAAAAGGGTGCTTAGTGATACTTTAGGAAAGTTAAACGTTCCTGCGAGGGGAGCGGAATCCCCGCAGCGAAAGGGGACGGCTGCTTCGCCTCGGTTTCTTGCTGGTTTCTGGTGGTCCACAGAAGACTCATAAGCCGCCCCGCGGAGCGGCCGCGGCTTTAGGACCGCGACTGTGGGGCCGGACACGTGTTGCACTCCCTGGGAACGAGTCGTTCCTCGACCCTCTGTGGGGGATGCTGCGGGGGATGCTCGGGGCGCCCGGTGCGGGCCCTCGCTAGGGCAGAGCTGGACAGGCGGGAAGGCACTGCTGTGTGGGGGGAGCGGGGCAGCCTCTCACCCGCTTTTTCATCGGTAAGGGCACGGCGGGAGCGGGCGCTTCGCGGTCGGGCACAAACTAGACCCCGAGGAAGCCCTCGCAGGGCTTTTGTGGGGGCTCACAGGTCGGGTGGGGCGTCCACAGCCACTCCGGGGCTTCCCCCGCTGAGCCGCCGCCAGGGCCGCTGCCGGCGGGGACTCCGTGGGGCGGGCAGGGCTGACCCTGGGGCGGCGGCGGGAGGGGAGGGTCTCCGGGCTGACCCGAAAGGGGGGAGCTCCCCGCTTCCCTCCCCTCCCCTCCCTTCCCCTGCCCGGCTCTTTGTTCTTTGCCCCTTTGTTCTCCCTCTCGAAGTTTCCAGGGGGGTTGCCGACGAGGAGCAAAGTTGCCGAAAGCTCAGGAATTACAATAAGTGGATGCTGGAGCAGGGAAAGAGGATGGGGGTCCCTTCTCGGGGCTACGAGCCATTCCCTAAATCCTGTCGCTTTGTCTGGGTTGCCCAAGAGGTCGGTGCGTGCTGCCGGAGACGGGCCGCGCTTGCAGTGATGCTGAGGAGGAAGGGGGAGACGGGGCTCCCCCGGCCATAGCAGAGTCCTGGGGGACCGGGCACCCCTTTCACGATTTAAAAGCGGTTGTGGGGGGGGGGGGAGGTGTTAAGTGTCTTTTCTGTCCTTTCTGGTGAGAACAGGAAGAAAATAAAAATAACCGGTGGACGTATAGGGCACGTGTATTGGTTTGAGGTGTACAACTCCAGAATGGATTCGGCTCCATCACTTTCTTCTCACTGATTTTTGTGCTTGCTTGACAGTGTTGTAGTAAAATGTTGTCAGGAGTTAAACAAGTTTGTGCTTAACTTCAAAGCAGATGGAGTATCTTCATAGAGCAACATTGCAGCTTAAGAGACAGCTTTAGTGTGATTAATGGGAGATCACAGCATGGTTTGGTATTGACAATAATACCAAAACTTCCTTTGAAAAGGAAAACATCTTCACTTGGTACAATATGGTGTAGCCTTATCCTCTCTTTACTAATCATAATTACACGTTAGAGAACTCCAAGCTTATTTTACCTTGCATTAAGAAATCTCAAATAACTTCTCAAATCAGTTACCCCATGAATCTTCCTCCTCCCCCAATATATGACAGTATGAAAACACTGTATTTGAATGAGTTAGGAAAGCTGATATGAAAGGAAACTTTGCTATGGTGAATTGGAGTAGATCTCAGCACGTTATGGATTGAGCCAGGTGAAAGTCCTGAACTCCAGCAGACTTTCCTAAGAGTGCTCTTACACCCTCACCTTTATAAGCGAGGATAGAGTGGATGAACATAGGACTTTGTTTTTTGTCTAAAAGCTACATGAATGCGTTTCTCGTAATCAGGAGAATATCCATAAATATTTACTATTTTTATACATGTAGAGATCCTGTAAAAATATTTTTAAAATAATTATATTTGGAGTAATTTTGTGTTATATAGAAAGGCTAACATTTATTATGACAACCTAAGTTTCCAGAATTTGTATACATTTTTTTTTCTGATATCCAACAAAGTTAAGAAATGAGATCAGATGAGACTGGGGTTGACTAAACAAATGTTCCAGACTGCGATTTTTTAAAATGTGAATATACTAATAAGGATCAGACCATCCTTCTGGCAGATGTTAAACCCCAGGATCCATTTTTCAAATGAAATGGGGTTTGATTTGAGATGATGTGGGGCCTGTTCTTCTGGCTTTATTTTTTCCTGATGTTGACGGGATAGAATCCCAGTGAAATGTCTGGGAACCTTGCTGTAAAATCCAGCTTTAGGTATTTCAAGGTAGCAACTCAAACACAGAAGCTGTCCATGAAAAGTTTGACCTTTATTTTTTAGGACTGTGTTCACAGTTGACTGTAATGATTGCTCACTAGCAAATTAGAGAAAGATACAAACATTGTATTGGATACTGGGGTATAGTTCGATTTTCTAGCAGTCTCCACATACAAATCAACTAGCTTACTGCTTAAATCCAGAGGCGAGCAGAATTACTTACTATTCTTTCTATATCCCAATGCTCATAATGTGGTGTTGCAATATCCAGGTAAAAATGTTCAATGCCATTTACAACAAGGAATCTGCCTTAAGCAATACTGTAATCAGTAACAGCTAACGTTACTGAGAGCAACAGCTTCTGCAAATGCCTTACCGCCAGAAGTTAACCAAGGTACAGCTGTAATTGTGTCCCAGACTAAATAAAGGCAGACATCCGAGAAGAATATAAGTTTAATTGGAAAAGTGGATCTTACAGAACGTTCTGTGGGATCAGCAATGGCTGCTTCTGTCTCAGTAATGACGATTAGAGGGACAAGTGACGCTAGTGGGTACTTGTTTAAATAGAGTGTTTCTGCAGTGTGAGAAAAATCATTTTCTGATTCAAAAGCATTCACTGAAGAAAGGGTGGTTGCATTTTTTTCACAGGTTAATTAGTCTTCTGTCTTTGCTCATGCTTTTTGCTGATGTATGTGGATTTCCTTTAAATAGACGTGAAATTTATATATATTTATTTTTATTTATTTTAATATATATATTTAAAAAAACCCAAACAAAACAGACAACCCTCTACTACTTCCCTTGAAAATTCTGACATCAAATATAAATTAGTAAATAATGCAGAGCGCAAACCTAAACATACAAAGATTGTTTGGGTTTTTGTCACTTCACTTTTTTGAGCAGGGGACAAAACTTCAAAATTGTAGGAGTTGGCTAAACTACCAAGTTGTTTAAATGACATGTCAGGCAGGGCTTTTTACCTCTGCATTTTTATCACCTTTGTTTGTCAATAAATACTTGTAGCAAATGAGGGGAAAAAACACATTGCTTTCTGTTTTACTTCCCTTGCATTTGTTATTATACCTAGAGCAGTTCCAAATAGTGCCAGTGCAGAGGAATATGGCATAAAAGCATAATATGGAGGACATTAAAAATGAACACTCTCTGCTTTGTAATAGATACATCTAGGCATAGGTGTGAATGAATACTGATTCATTTATACAGTTTTTAAATGGAAAAGCCTTAAGTTTACAAGAAAGGTAAACAGCATGTCACACTGCATTTAGCAGATGTTGGCTCACTACCTTTAAGAAAATGGAGAGCAGTGGTCCCTTTGACATCCTTGCAGAAAATTAGATCTTTCCAGAAAGAAAAGGAGAGCACATAACTATAGCAGTTACATCGAGAATGGACAGTTAAAAATGTTAACATTGTATTTCTTTTTTTTTAAATTAGTTTATCTCAGTCTTAACAAAATTAAAATATTTTTTCTTTTAAATGCCCATGTTTAATTCTATCGGTATATACTTAACAAAAACTAAAAGAGCCTACAGGATAATCCAGTCTCAGGTACTCAAATGTTACAAGGGCCTTATGTGCTTACTACTTGTGTAAAATTACCACTAATCATAGTAAAGAGTGGTACATGTTGGCTAAGATTCAGTTGCTGAATAAATAGCATTTAGATTTATTTCCCCCCCTTACTGTTATGATATGTATGGAGAGAGCTGAAGCTCCTTTCATCATGCAGGCATAGGCATATGCTTAGGATGTTGACTGAATGTAGTAAATACATTTGCAACAAAAACTGGTGATAATGACGTGTTTCCATGTAAGTATTTCAACTGCTTCAAATTTTGTCATTCTTAATAAAGGAGCAGTAACTGTAAACTTAGAAATTACATCCCCATATTTATATTCTGTCACAAAAGACTTCTTATTCAAAGCACAAAAATAAGAATTTCTCTTTGTTTTCTCAGTGACTCATGACCCTAAAGTACAGCATTGGCGTAACAGGCAATCTCCCTCCCTCAAAATACCTGCAAGGATGGTGTGTTATTGCCTATCTGTGGGTTTTCTGAACATACATCAGTAATGCTCTAGCTCTAAGCACAGAGGGGGGAAAAGATGATAAATCAGTATTAGTTCATTCTGAGGAACTGATTATGACAAAAGCCCTGTTCTGTTTCCATTGCAGTCAACACTGAAAGTCTCGTGACTTTGAATAGCTTCCTCTTACTGTTTGGGTTGTGGAAATGCTCAGAAATCCCAGCCAACGTTTTGGTCTTGTTGTGCAGAAATACATAGAACTAACATAATCTTCTTTGCTGAAAATTATGGTTCCTTAATTTCTTCAAATACTTTACTTAATATTTTTATATTTCTCATCATGTAGTAATAAGTTTGTCCTTATCCCTCTCCCCAAAAACAGTTATCATGTCCATGAGTAGCATCTTTGGTATTTTGTGTTTAACTATTTCAAACCTTCATCCAAATACAGGATAACAATGAATTTTTTTAAAAAAGTTTTTTCCACTCATATAAAATACAAATCCTTACATTGATGCCAGTCTCAGGAATCTGCCAGTGAACTAAGTTGCTAAGTTTAACATCCATTACTGATGACTGCTGAAATGGGTGAGGAACTTACACATTTTCTCCCAGTTAGGAAAATATTAAAGTAGAACTGCACTAGGCAATTCCATGCATATGCTTTCTGAACACATCATATAACTGTTTAATATTTTTTTTACCTTATTATTCATATTTTTGTATTCACATGAAAAGAGTAAGGTATCTACAATACGCTAGAAATTTCTAATTTAAAATATAGCTTTTCAAACAAGGAATTAAAAGAGTGCAGATGCCTGAACTTTAGGTAAGAAAATATTTTTTCTTTTTCTAACTTGGATTTTCTCTGAATAATTTGTTTCCCTCCCTCCTTCCCTATTCACCTTGTCCAGGTGAAAAACATTGAAAGTAGTATGCATTTTAGTAGGATACAGTGTGGTGACTCTTCCATGTTCAAAGGACACTTGGAGTTCTTCATATTATGTATTTGTATCTGTAGAAAGGGTTAAGTATTTTTAGGCTGTATGGGTATGTATCCTGCTACTGACATCAGGTGCTTCTGGGGTAGGTGGCGTATTCATGGGGAAAAAAAAAAATAAATGGAGCTTATACTTCTAAACTGGGTGATACCAACTTCTCTTATACACTGAGCAGCCAAATTTGTACTTTTGTTTGTTTCAAATCTATAATAACATCTATTCAATGGAATAAGTGTGATAGATAAATATAGATATCTATGACACATACAGATGTGTGTGCACATACATGTGTATCTACATCTCACATTACAGCCAAGGAAAAATTTACTCAAGGGGACAAATTTGCTTTAAAGGAAGTGCCAAATAAAAGAGGAATTTTATGGGTCCAAAGTAACCTTGGTAGAATAAAGAAATTATTGAAACTGTGGCATACCACCTTCCTTAAGCATAACTGCATTTATGTATGGAAGTATCACCAGTACAGGCAAAACCATGTCTCCTACTGTGTAGCTGGCTGTCATACGTAAGGTTAGGAATATGTTTTTAATGTTAACAGCTATTAAAATGATTGATTGTTGATTGTGGCCATGCTTTTCCTTTTTTTGTAGTCTTAACTGAAAACCCATCTCCCAAGGGCTCGAAGCAGGGTCTGAGACTAGATGTTGTGTGCAAGCCCGATAAGCACATCACTGAGGTTCTTAGGATGGCTCTGTAAGGACTCGGATGGGGCATTTGTGAGCTTGTGCCTCTACTTCTCAGAAAAAAATCAGTAGCAAAACATTATGGTGAAGCCTCTAAAGTAGTGAAATTGCTTTACTGCAAGAACCTGTACCCTAGTATCCAGTAGTACAATGCAAAAATTTGTTTTAAGTAAAATTACCCTTGTTGAAATGAGTAGAAGAAATAACAGACACAACTGAACTCTGGGCAGTGTATATAAAAAAGAGTATTAGTTAGGAAATAATCATTTGGTATCAGTCAGTAAAAGTAATCTTCCCGACATTTCTTTTAATTTTCCTGTAACTAAGATGGGAACTGGCTTCAGCATAAGAGAACTGCAAGAACATGTTAAGCAATGATGTTTTACCTATGCCTTGTAATGTGCTCGTGGACACAGACAGTAACATTTTCAATGCCTGGCTCTAAATTTTCAGCCAAATGTTCAGCCATCTCATTGGAGAAGGTAAATGGGGACACATAAGCATTTGCAAAATCCCATTCAGAGGATAAGCTTCAGCTTGGCAGCATGGCATGTAAGACCTGCCACACCTGGCTGGACACCAGGGCCCTCCTACCCTGGCTGCTTTTTTCTGTGCAAGGAGGCAATGCCAGGTGCCTACGGCTGTCCTCTTTTCTTCTCTTCTCTCTTTTTGGTTGGAGCTGCCATCTGACCAGAGGGGTAACATGGGGAAGGCTGATCCCTTTCATGACCTCTTTGGGGCTATGATTGCCTAGCCCAAAATTGAAAAGACAGTGCTCTGCAGTGGGTCTCCTGCTTTTGGTGAAAATGGTTGATACACTGCCATCCAACTACAGAGCAGATTAAATGACTGGCACTATTTTAAAGCATCTTATATTTTCTATTTCCTCATCTACAAGTACATACATACAGATTTTGGGAACATCATTTATATTAGTTTCTAAATCTTCTACAAAGACAAAAACAAGACTAAAATTACACCTTCTTTACTAAAGTTATTAAAAAAACCCCAAGCCCAAACAAGCCCAACCCTAAAACCTATTGGATTACATATTTTTATAGAGCTTTTGATAAATTGGTACATATTATCTAAGATATGACAAGGTTTCTAAAGCTTTATAAACTTGATGTTTGTAAGCTTTTAGCAAACCATGATTCAGTAATGCAAAGGAAATGTCACAGCTTAAAAGGAAATAAACAACTTGCCTCCTTGGCAGAATTATCACTACCCTGCATGTAGGAAAAGCCTCCATAGCTGGCTGCCTTTGCTGCAATTACTGGTGTACTTTTTTTCCCCAGGATATCCCATTGTTTGCCACACTCCTTCCGCAATCTTTTTTGTAGGGCTTTTGTACGCAGGAATTTTTTCTGATTAAATGTTTTGTGCAGCACTTAACAAATTTACCTTCTTACCGTGAACAATGCTACTATGCTGTAAATACCTAATGAGAATGCATCTCTGGTAGTGTAAATCTGGGGCAGACACCCTATTTTTGTGTTGCACTTGCTCTGCACTAACACTCGGTTGGGTCTGACAGCAGCAGGTCTCTCACCCTGCCTTTTGCGGCATGAGGAAAGGACCTACTACTCTGGGAGCTGTTTCTGCCAAAAGCCAAGGACCTGTAATCCTGCTAACATCAGGAGAGGAGAGCATGCAGCTTCTGGCAGCAGCAAGAACTACTAATTTCTGCACTGCCCAGAAATTAACTTCAAGCGTCTCAAAATTGTAATTAAAATTCAATTGTTTCTCATCACATTTAGACATCCGCCCATGGAAAAACACCTATTGTGTAACTTTTACCCCTCTCCCTGGGGGTTGTACTGGGAGGATGGGAAGGTTGTAGCCCTAATGGTGACTGAAAAGACAAAGGCAAGAAAATGAGCTTACCTTGCTACCCTAAAGTTAAGCAGTAATCCACATGGCACCAGTGCTGAAATATGTAATAATGTGGTGGTAGGACTTCATTGCTGAAGATGTCACATTGGCTCTGCTTTTGTGTTGGCTATATAAATATCTATAACGTGTTACTTTATTGCCTTTTCTGTATAATATGACCAAAATATCAGAGAAAAGTGCAATTTCTCAATTTTGTAATTAGAGATTGAAGACTGGATACTCAGGTAGTATAAACTGGTATGACTCCACTGATTTCATGAGAGTTGGGCTGCATATCTGTTTTCTAGTCTGTGGCTCTGACCAGGTAATTACTGAATAAGACTTCACCACGCCGTAACGTTCATATATAGTAATGGAATTCAGAGTTGTGATCCTGTTACACAGTTAAATATAAGTAAACCTCTGTGGTGGAATGTCTGTCTGTGGAATAAGATTTTTCACTTTTCTCATAATTTTCCATAATGAACAACTGGATTAAAACTGGTGTTCTCTCCTTCCCATCAGCTTCTTGGCCATCTGCTAGATGCCTGCTGGTATAAGAGGATGGATGGGTTCAGTATCACATTTCACTTAGGGGTCTAGAAATGAGCATCTTTAATGCACAGCAAATGAGCTAAATTACAGGGGAGTGTTTCCAGCAGGCATTCCAGGGTTGTGAACACAGCCTGGGAACCCATGATCCAACAGGCTTTGTCACCCTGGCTGATGCTTAGAAAGGCCTCCCTACATTCTTCTGTACACCATTTTCTACCTATATCTATCACATCTATGCAAGAGCAGCTTTTTGTGTGTGCCTGGGGATGTACTGACGCATTCTGAGAAGTGAGAACACTCACTGAACTTCTCAAGCTGGGTTATTATCGATGTGCTTCAAGCAGGGTCTAGATGGAGTTGAGGTAGTTGAGGTCCTTCAATAAAAGATTGTTTAAAATCCAGTATTGACCTATTTATCTTTAAACTTAACACGCCAGGTGAAGTTCTGCCATCTCAACCTTTCTTCTCAACTGCATTAGTAACAGTACATCTGTCTGTATATGAAATACAGCAGTTGGAGAATTCACATTCAGGGATGAAGGGTTTCATGTTTGCTCTTCTTCCACTATATAAACTATTCTATGCTTAGGCTTCTTCCTTTTAAAGCTCTATCATCAGCATTTCAGGATATTCAGGCAAGAAAAGAAGCAGCAGAGAGCATGACTGTAGCCTCCGGTGAGAACAAAGAATGACGTGGGGTAATCCTGGATCTCTGGCTTCCACGACTCCTTTAGCACTTCTATATTAAGAGTAAAATATATTAACAGGCTTTTGAGAATTCCTGAGATATGACCTTAATCAGAGATAGAGCCTATCTGCCATTAAACATAATACCTTCTTGACAACCACTTCTCTTCTGCAACCTTTGGCACTGAGGTCTGTTTTGGAAAGGCAAGAGTCATTTTGCAAATCTTGTAGTGAGTACCTGTATACCCAGGGATCAGGCCCATCCTGTACTGTTTTGCACCTGTACTTTCCCCAGTGTGTCCTACATACCCTGCACATACAGCACAGCTGCTGAAGTGCAGACTGTTAATCGTTGGGTATTTTAATATTTGTGCAGTGTGTCAAAGGGGAAAGAGCTTAAATTCTGTTTGCATTTTAAATAACTGTCTTGGCAGTTACACAATCCATAGTGTGTGTATGTTTTCATGGAATGCACTGTTTGTGACTGATGTTGAAAGAAGAGGTACAGATATTAAATATAGCCAAGCAGGTTCTACAGTTGGTCTGGACTGGGTCAGCCTTGCACTGTGGACGGCTGTCAAGGGCATCTGGTAAAGTGCCACTAAGCACTGTACTGTTTGTCTGACACATACGGGCAATATTGAAACTTGTTGATGGCAGTTTGGCAACTTTTATCTCTATCAAGCAAGCCAAATTCTGATCCCTTAGAGTTAATTCAAATTCCTCTGACACTAGGCTCAACTCCTGTAGGAAGCCAGATTGTAGAAACTAAGAGGTGAGCTTATTCTGAGCAGACTTGGATCTCATACTAGTTAAGGGCCCCGCCCTAAATCCTGATCTCTGATAAATTAACTTTTTAATGTTTCATTACTGCTAGGGTACAAGCCAAATGTCTACACAGATATTTATGTTCCAACAGCCAAATGCAAGCTCATTTTTTTTCTTCTGAATTATAAGTATGTTATGTTTTACAGACATGAGTAACTCATGTGGGATCTTTCCCACAGAGTAAAACCAATGTAAATTCACATGACTCAGGGATTTGTTTCAATGCTTATGTATAAACTCTCATTAGAAATGATTATGCTTGAAGATCAAAAGAAAAGTACACTCACTTGTATTAATGTTTAATGCATAATTCACATTGTTAGAACAAAAAAACAAAACAGTCGGTGGTTGTTACGACAAATATCAAACATTGGCACCACTAACCAACTCCCATAGAGGATCCTTCATTTCACTGCATTGGCTGTGCACTGAGATTTCCTCTTGTGTGTGTTGTGCCATCATCTCGGAGACTTAAAGACACTTTCCTCACTAGATGAGTAATTCCCCTGTAATGACAGAAGTGAGGGAGAGCCAGGATACCCCATCAGTGCAGGTGGCTCCAACGCTCAGAGATCTCTCAGTGGAAGCAGAGCATAAAATAATCTAATCTAATTTTTTATGCAAGAGGGATTTCAGATCAGGCATGCTCATATATGGTCTAAAATTCTAATTGCCTTCAATCTGAGTTTAGTTTGAGCCTTAATATCAACACCATGGTCAAAGTTACCCAGCGCTGCAAAATTCAAGAACTTGATTTTTTGTTTTCTGTTTATCCACGTTCTACCTTCTTTAGTCAATGCTTATTTTCTTGCAAGAATGCTTCTTACTTAAATAAGCAGATTTGGCATGATGGAGTTGCATATGTAATCCATTCTCTGTATCTTCAACCAAGGCAAGCACAGGAGAGCAAAGCCATGCTCATAATCATAACTGAGCTTAGGAATGAGAATCCTGTGTTGGCATCACTGCCTGTTATACAGAGTTCTGGGTTTACTTATTTGGTGTAAGGGAAGACCTCTGGGTACCCTCTGCCTTGCCACATTATAGTCTTTCACATGAAGTAGGAGTTGGGCTTTGTTTTCTTCATAGATTTTAATGGCTTTTTCCATGTCAATGTTTAAAGGTCAGCAATTTATAGGATGTGGCTTTTATATTTATGCTTCTTTTAAAAAACTTGGCCCTTTTACCAGCTGAACTTCCACAATTTCCTTCTCGTATAGTTTTTGGTTTTTCATTTCTTTCCCCCCACTCATCCCCCCAAAAATAAGGCGAAAAAAATGCTGAAAAAACAACTCAGCAAAAAATTTTAAGTTTAGGAGTCTTAATGCATGGCAGAGAGTCATCTCTCTTCCACGGGGCTCCGTGGCACAGGATGACACTGACTGACATTTGACAAAATTTGTGCTTGGCACAAGGTCACAAATAAGGTTGTATGTACTCATTATCATTTCAGTAACTTTCCTGTATGCCAGCAGTGATACAACACCTCTGATTCAGAGCAGAGTAGCTGCCTGAGTTTCAGGTAGGTTCTTCCTAATTCAGATCTCTGTAAGCAAACTATAAATTAACTCTCCATTCTTAAGGTGCCTCCTGAAGGCCCAGTTGTTCTGCAAACCCTTCTGCGTGAGTCTGTAAGGTTCCTCATTCGGGAATTAATATTGTTGAGTTAGAATGGGTGCTATTGCTATGCATGGAATGCAGTCAAATGGATCTTGCGTGTTTAAGAGAACAGAGGAGAGCTTTGGGATTTGTTTTCCTTTTGTTTATAACAACCCACTCAAAATATTTACAATGGAAAAGCTGATATTTTCTCCAGTAAAGAACCTACTGTCCACTTTAAGGCAGTTGAAAAGGTATTTAGAGTATATACTGGTTAAATTGTTTATTTTTAGGGGAGTGCACATGGCATTGCTATCTTGAAACTGATCATAAATACATACCTGTTGTGGGATTTTTGTTGTTGAGGAAAAAAACCCCTGTAATGAATTAAATATGCTTCACGAGGAAAGAAGTAGGTCAAATGTTCAGCTAAATTAACCTCATGTTCTACAGAAAGACTAAATTCTGTTGTTTTCACCTCTGGGACTTTGGACTTGTCTATACACCAAATTATTCCAAGACACTTATTAGGTACACTGCAGTAATTACCTCCGACTAAATCCATGTGTAGACAAATCTTATGCCAGCATAAGAATTCACTTTCTTGAATTACCTTAATCCACTTTGAAGGTGGCTTAAGTGAAACCGGGAAACAACTTGGTCATTCCAGAATGAATAAACTATCTGAACATAGTTTTGCTTTACATTCACATCCGACCTTATTCCAACATAATTTTCCTGGACTGAGAGACTCTTAGGATAGATCTACATAGCAAATGAACGTGTGATTACAGACACACCAACCTTCCCTTTACTCTCACTGGCATGAGTAACAACAGTAATGAAAGATGGTAGCAGAGACTTCAGTACAGCCTATTAACTGGAGCACATATATGCAGCTGGTTGTGAACAGCCTCAGCTGAAATCCACCTCATCACACCCCCACTTCAGATACAACTCACGTCCCTTAGACTAATACTGGGGCTGGGAATGCCTCTCTGCATCTCTGGTGTGTATGCACACCAAAACCCGCATATGCGATAGGACCGCACAGCTGAGCTAAATGGAAAACAGGTGAATTTAACTTCAGAGGTTAATCACATTCGAGAAGAAGCATGGCTCGCACATTTTTAATATACACACCTTTGACAACCAAATAAAGTGTCAGCTGTGTGACTGCGGAAGCCAAATTAAATGTGCTGTACACAAGCGCAACTCAGATGATTTCACCAGAGCTGAATTTGGCTCCACAGTTGAGAACTTGCTTATTTGACTGATACTTGTTTTGCTGCCTATCTGCTCATTTATTTTAATGAAATTAATGCATTTTAATGTTCCTTTAAGAGCATTCCAAAAATAGCTATTTGATTAACTAATTTGCTTTTAAAAGTGTAACAATCACAACGAAAAATCTCTCTGTTAGCTGAGGTATGGCGTAATTGTAAGGAGCACGTTGGGTAGCTATGCCATACCCTTCACCCTTTCAAACACATTCCCCACATCAATCAGAAGAGCCTCACTTAAAAATGAATGGCGAAATACAGACAACAATCAAGCTGTACCCACTGCTTTTCAAGTCTATCAAAAACATGTATCAGTAATGTACTCTGTACTCTGCTGAGACAGTAAAGACAGGCAAGAATTTAGCCTAAAAGCAGTTTAAACCAATTCCAAAACAGAAACATGAAACAAATTTGTCTTTCTAGCCAAGCCAGAAAGCATCTTGAGTAGCTTGGGTTAAAAAAAAAAAAAAAAAAAAAAGTGCTTTCAATTTCAGGCTCCTTAAAATGGTGTTTGAATGGTACAACATTCCAAGAAGGATTTCTTTTTTCCCCAACTCTTTTTCCATCTGCAGTAGGGATCTCACCATTTAAAATATGCTGTGGCTGAGAGCATAGAGCCCAGCAACAAAAAAGGTGTACACTAGCTTCTCCCTGACTTTATCTCCTTATAAAAACTGGAATTGCAAAACCTGATTAGTAACAATATTAAGTGAAGGCAATTTTCCCTTTTATTGTATTTAAATGAGGAAAATGAAAGTATTAATGCTAATATTAGGGCTGAACAGAGGCAGTTGCAAAAAATAATTTAGTTTCAGCCCTTCTACATGCACCCATTCAAGAACCTCCGCTGTGCTAGTTACCTGGGTATTGGCAATGTTTTAACTTGTTATTATAGTAGGTGGTGTGAAAAGCACCACAGAAGAGGGAAACTTGTCTCAGGGCTCTGCTGGAACACTCTGCGGTCACAGAGTAGGTGGTGTGATGTTGCAGCAGTTTGGGATGTTACAGTGTGCGGGTAACGACTAGTCTTTGGCTGAGGAGGCACTTAGACCCAAGCTACCATGGGTACTTTAAGGCGAGGCCTAGTTCTGGAAATACTTCTGCACGCGGGTTAAATCCCACATGTAAAAAGGTCCTCGGAATTTAGGGGCACTGCTTATGGAGACTTACAGGATTTGGCTTTGAGAAGTGCACGAACCAAGGGCAGGGCATGCGTGTGGGTGCCAGCCCCTGCCATGGCTGGGGACACCGCTGACATCCAGCCCGGTGGTCTCACCGGCGCCGGGGCTGCCGCAGGCTCCAGCTCACTCTGGTTTAACGCAAACCCTCCTGCCTTCGGGGACAGCTGCTGGGCAGCCCCAGCAGCAGAGGTGGGAGCGATGGCTCAGGAGCCCCTCAGTGAACCCTGCCAGGGTCTGCGGCAGGTCTTTGCTCTCCTTGGCAGCGACGCCATTGCGCCAGCCGGCTGCCGACCTGCCTGGGCTGCCCCGGCCCCGCCGCCGCACCCCGGCCCTCACCCGGGGCCTCGGGGCTCTGTGCGCCGGGGGCTCCCCCGCCTTCCCCTGCGAAGCCTTGCAGGGGAGTGGGGGATGGAGTGGGGGCGGGGTGGGGGGGCGCGGCGCCAGGCCTGCACGGCAGTAGCGGTGCGGCATCCTCGCTCCTCGCCCGGCCTCCTCTGGCATTCCGGGTGCCTTCCTTTTTTTTTTTTTTTTTTTTAATGTTCTTGCTTTTTTTTGTCTGTGTGTGCGGTGCCCGTTCCCCCGCCCCCGCCGGTCGCTCGGCACATGGCCTGCTGGCGGCCGGCGGCGCGTGTGTCCCCGCGTCCCTTGGGTGAGGTGTCCCGTCCGCCGCCCGCATCCCGGCCGTGGCTGGGGCTGGCACCCCCTCCCTGCCCATCCCCCTCCCTTTTCGGCAGTCGCTTTTTTTTTTTTTTTTTCTCCTCTCCGGTGTTTTTTTTTTTTTTTCCCGTGGTGTTTGTATGTGTTTTTTCCAGGTGGGACTTGGCGGTGACCGGCGAGGCTCGCCCGGCACTGAATGTCACCCTGAAGGTAAAATGAAAGACACGGAGATGAACGCATGCCTGCGCCCCGCGCCGCCGCTCCCCCGCGCCCGCCGGCGAGCGGCCGCCACCATCGCGGGGCGGCAGCCCCCGCCGCGCCCCGGATTTCCTGTCCCGGCTTTTTCGTTACTGCGCCTTAAAAAAAAAAAAAAAAAAAAAACCCAAAACCACCAAACCCTCAAAAAATAATGGTAAAAAAAAAAATCCGCATGCGAAAGAAACGTGCACGTACCCGGTAACGAGCCCAGGAAAAACCCGGCCGCTTCCCCCTGCTCCTGCCAAGTTATCATTGGGAACACAGGCAGGCGCCGTGACGTCCCGGGTCAGGCCGAGTGCGGACCGGCGCTACCAAGGCGGCAGGGAGGCGCGGGGACGCCGCCGGGGCCGGGGCCGCGGGGACCGGGGCCGCCGCCGCCCGCCCGCCGCCGCCCCGCTGCCCGCCGGGCCGCGCCCGCCGCCGCCGCCGCCCCCGCGCCCCCGCGCCACCTGCCGCGGCGCCGCTCGGCCTCCCGCCCGCCGCCGGCTCCCCCTCGCCGGCGGAGGTCGCGGGAGCCCAGTTAAAGGAGGCGTGTGTAAAGATTTTGCAATGTCCCTGCATGGTGTTGTAGACTTTCCTAGCAAAGAAACCGGCTTCGGCTTCTTTAAAATCCCCGACGACTCACCTGATTAACCTGCCTGCGGTTCTGAGCTGACCAGGTAAAGCGAGCCCCCACCCCGCACCTCCCCGCACCCCCGCCAGCTGACATTGCATGGGGGCATGTTTGTGCTTGAGACGAGCCGCTGCCAGAAGCGCTTTCCCCTCCCCCGCCCCCTTCCACCTTCAGCCCTTGCCAATTGCACTTGCTCAGAGTCATTGCCCCCAAAAAAAAAATAAAAATATCCAGCTTGGGAAAAAGCTGCACGACGGCACCGGCCACCCAGGGTTTAGTGGCTCTCGCCTCTCGGACAATTATTTAGAATTATTGGCCCGGGTGTGGGGGGGTGGGGTGGGTGTAGGGGGAAGAAGGGAAGCACGATGCTCTTTTTTGCTGCTGACAGATCCTACCCCGGCAGGTTTTGTGTGCGTGTGTCCCTCCCGCCCAGGGTCAGGAGTGCCGGGAAAAGTGACGAGGCTTTAACCAGCAAAGAGTTTGGGGCCGGGGTCCCGGGGTGGCTCCGGCGGCTGCGAGCGGAGAAGGGGGACCGGACTCTCCAAGCCTGTGCCGGGGCGCGTGTGCCTGTCGCGGCTGCTGCCCCGTGCCGCCCTGACCCCTCCGCGCTGTCCCCCCCGGGAGCCCCGAAGAGTCCCGGCTGCGGCGCGGGGCGAGGCCGGCGGGGGGGCCCGTCCTCGTCCCCGTCCCTCCCCCGCCGCTCGCTCCCTGCTGGAACACTCGTGCGGGCGGCCGGCGGGAGCGGCGCAGGCCCGGGGGGAGCCCTGCCCGCCCCGCGGGGGTCACCGTGCCGCGCTGCCGGCCCCCGGCGGCGGGAGCGGCGGCGTGGCCGCCCCACGCGGGACGCGCTCCGCCCGTGCCGGGCTGTCGGGACCCGCGGGCGGACACGCGCACACAAAGGCGGCGGGGCCGCTCGCTCCCGGGATCAGCAGGGGCGAAGGAAAGTGTGCAAAGTCCACGCACTGCCCGCTCCTCCTGGCACTTGGCCCTCCCAGCGCCGGCCGTGGGGAGGACGGGGTTTGGGAAGCGGCTGCGTGTGGGGTCTGAGAGTGACCCGACTGCGAGAAATTTTCTTTTTTTTTTTTTTTTATATTTTTATTTTATTTTATTATTTATTTTTCCCGGTCATTAATGCCATGAAGGAGCGAGTGGTCTGGAGGTATATTTTGAAGTGCTGAAGGGGATGCTCTCTGAGTCTTGGGTCTAGTTAATATGTTTCTCGTGATTGCAAAGAAGAGAGGACTGCATTTAAGAGATGACTAAATAATGGGGGAGGCAAGCAAAAATGAGTAGAATATAAAGGAGAGGAAAATGAAGGTGAATGGTAGTGTGGGAAGGCAGGCACTGAGCTGCTTGGGGTTTCTCTCCTGTAATCCTCCCTCTCTCCTATATCGTCCCCCTGTCTCAACTCCCCCCCCCCCCCCCCCCCCGTCTTTTCATACTATTAAGGAGAACCTAATAGCCAACATAACATAGCAGAAAAACAGATGACCCCTTGCCCTGCTTCACCCTGTCACCGTCTGCAACCGTGAGGGAAATCCGAGTGCCATTGTATAAACCCACCAAAGTTTTAAGCATTTATTAGCCACCCTGTTTAAAATACAAAGTGTAAAACTTGCCTGATACATTTCATTGTTACGTCCCTGTTTTATTTCAGAGGACAAAATGTTCCAGTGTAGCATACCTACCCTCACTTTCAGAATGGGAGTAGTTTACATTTTAACCTACATTACATTATACACGGTCCATGCATTGAATTTCCACTGAAAATAGCCAAAGACTTAGAATGACGAAGAGACTCGTGGTTATGATCTTCCTTGTCTTGAGAGCATCAAGGTAGCTGTGGTTCAGCATGCTGGAGAGGGGGGCTCTGTGGTGTGAGGAGTTTCATGTCTGTACAGGAATCTGGCCTGTCTCCTTTTAGAGGACTTTACAGTTTAAAATGTGCCAGGGGCAGGAGAAGGTAAACGCGACATTCAGCGCGCTCATTATCAAAACAGGGAAAACAAATCGATTGCATTAACTGTGTGTGCAGTATCACAGTTATTCCACAGTATTTTGTCAGAAATTAAAAGGTTACCACTAGAGTACTATATCCCTATCTCCAGCCTGGCACCACTTATTACTGCAATGGTATTTCAATATTAAGTGATCTTAGAGATATTTCGTCTTTCATTTTGAATCCCGAATTTGAATCAGCATTAGGATGTCAGGGCTGTGAGATAAGGTATAACAAACTAAGTAGACAGCTGAAGGGCTCCTGGTGAAGGTGTTGCTGAGAAGGATATCTTGGGCCGTTCGCAGTAACCTTGTTTACAGGGACATTTCAATTGCAACCTGAATTTCAGAGAGAGGCTGCCTGGACTAATGCCTGCGTGTCTGAAACCCATCACGAGTGTCTTTTGCACTCTAAACCTTCTCTCTGCCTTCCTTGCATACTCGTAAAAACTTTTCTGGAAGGTTAGGATGATTTTCTGATATGAAAATTAAGATGTTTTCCTAAGAGGAACATTGCTCTTTGAACTGGTGTACATTAGCAACAAAGTATTCATGAGGTTTGATTTTTTTTTTTGGTTCTCTGATGTGTCAGGATCAGTAGTTGCACCAGTCTTTTTAACTTCACGTATATGGCTTTGATTTACTATATTTAAGCCTTAGTGGTTTTGAGCGTATTTTGCAGCACATGAAGTCGGTTCAAGTCAGAATGTGAAAAGGAGGCATATTGTAACAAGGAACAGTTTTGTAGTGATCTGCTATTTTTTTGTTTTCTTTTCCTAAAGCTATTCCAGGAAAATCACGTGCGTTTAGCGAGTGGGTGCTAAATGCCAGCAGCCACATTGATGAAGAAAAATGCTGTTGAAATACTTTGGAATAATAAATAGGATATGTAATGGTCAACCACAAGATAAACATTTTACACTGCGTTTTTATGGCTCTAAATTGGCTGCATTGTAAACCAAGCTTACTACTCTATTAAGTCATCAGAGTTTTCAATTATTTAAGATTTTCAGTCAAGCCATCTAATGCAGTCTTCATTGGCCCTATCAGAAAATTATGCATAAGGTTGTAATTCCTTCTTGTTGATATGTGAGGGCTTTGTTGTGGTTGGGGGTTTAACTTTGACTTATCAGGACAAATATTGCAAACCATGCACACAGGAAAAAATTATATGGAAATAGCCCCAGTCCTACGAAATGGGTATAGTTACAGCACTGAAATGTACCTAATACAATTTGAGATCCACTCACTAAGAAACCTTGACAGTATCTGCCTTGCAGGTACCGTGCATTTGGAAATACTATATCTCCATTTAAATGCAGATCTTCAGTTTTCTCCAGGGGGCAGTTGGTGAATCTTTCGATTGAACCACCGGTACTAGAAAAACTAACTGAAGATTTACCCATGAACAAGAGACCCTTTCAAGTCTGCTTTTTTGAAATAATGATTATAAAATTTCCTAATATTGCAATTTTATATTGATTTTGAATGCCTTTTCAAAAGTCAAAGGGAAGGAATAGTGCCTTTTACTCAAGGTAGGCCAATGTCTGCATGCTTGTTTAGCAATCTTACCAGAGATAACTGCTACAAATAACTTCTTTGTTTTTATATAGGTATTGTGTTTGCATGTGAGTTTTGTCAAATGGACAGAGCAGTCTTGCTTTGATTTTGACCTAGATTCCTCTTGATTATTCCAATACAGCTAGTACCTGCTTATTTCCCACTGTGAAAATAGGAGAACAACTGTTGATGCTATCTAGCTGGGGCTGCATGGGCAATAGGCACGCATGTCCAGTCATCTCCCCTCCTCCTCCTTGGCTTCCTTAGTTATGGATAAAATAGCACTGGAGTCCAAAGAGAGTGCAAGCCTATATTTCCTCTCCTGTGAATTATCTTTCTTTGAGGGTTTGATTCAAAGAAAAGAGGGGAAATAATAAAAAAAAGAAGTGTAATGATTGAGTTTATTTCTATTTCCTGATTTGGCATGCAAATTTCGCACCCTTGCAGGGATGAGCAGGGCCATGTCTTATTTTAAGCAAGTCGCAGATCCACCTTATTCCTTATTTGCTGGAAACTCAGTAGATGCCAGTCCTCCTCAGAGGGGCTTGTCCCATCCAGTCCAGTTTTCTATATTGTTTGTCAGCTGTTCAGTTTGCGGTGTAAGCCAAGGCATTAAACTAAATGCCCAGGACACAGGGAATGGGAGCTTCCTGTTTGGAGTGCAGGCAGCACAAACTACCTGATGCAGGGGAGACAGTAGATCCTGGCCTTTTCTGTGCAGTGTGCCATGCGTGTGGCATGCATGCCCAGGCATTCCAGTCTTCCCACTGTGGGCCTGGGTGCTGCCTGGGGATGCTGCCCGTGTCCCTGTACCAGAGCCATGAGACTGTGGAAACACCGTGTGTATTATGCTCACCTGTTAATGGCATATAACCCACTGGCCTCAATACCCTGGAGGAAACATGCACTTCAGCCTCTGAGCGGAGTTCAGACAGATCTGCAGTGTCCAATCTTACATGCACCAGCGTTAATGGCAGAGCTCCCATTTATCTTAATTGATATTCCTATAAACATCTGCAGGTTTCTGTTTCTAGTGGAGGCTACAGCTCAGTGGACTTCTTAAAGGAATGTTTTGCATACTGAGGTTGAAGGGGAAGTCGAGCCTGATACATTAACTTATCATCTGTGTCATTCTCTTGACATCAGTTGGATTACTACAAGCATATATGACAAGGAGATTAGGTGCAAGATCTTCACACAT